AAGAGAATGGTAGAGAGGCAGCAGAGAGTTATTTTTTTATCATTAACTCTTTCCCCGTCCGTTACTGTTTCCCTCGTGACTTCCCTCTCCATTAACGACCGTCTTCAACTGCAGCCTTTCGCTTTCATTGTATCACAGCTTAATATTAACAATCTTAACAATCAGGGGACCCAAATTAGTTTTTAAAGGGATGCACAGGGAATGTTGTGGTCCAAATGTTATTTGAGGAAAAATGTTCTAATTCTGTTCGAAAGTTGCACAAATTCCACACCATAAATAAACCAAACCATTGATATTGAAGACCTATTCATATGCTTCCACACGTATACACACACAAACACACACACTCACATGCACACACTGTCTGGCCTGTAACCAGAGCCATGTGATTTTTTGACAGTAACATGAACCTATTCTTTTTAATCTAATGTATGCTCTCATGCCCTTATAGGAGCCTCTATGGTAATCTGCTTCTGTGTGTGTGTGTGTGTGTGTGTGTGTGCATGTGCGTGCGTGCTGGGACAGGTGTGTGTGTGTGTGTGTGTGTGTGTGTGTGTGTGTGTGTGTGTGTGTGTGTGTGTGTGTGTGTGTGTGTGTGTGTGTGTGTGTGTGTGTGTGTGTGTGTGTGTGTGTGTGTGTGTGTGTGTGTGTGTGTGTGTGTGTGTGCGTGCTTTGAGAGACACAGCTACTGTAAATGTTATTTTATCTCATCAAACACATTGCCTATATCTCATATCTCACATTCCTGGACTATAATGGGATTAGATTTAATGGGATTATAAGTGAAAACCTTCAGATCACAATGTAAAGGTAATTAAACTGGAGTCTGGAATCTTCTAAGGGGGTCTGAAGAGGGACCATAGAGGCTCCTGAAAGGCTTAAAGTCAAAGTGACAATTGAGGCATTGTTAGAACAGAAAGGGGATCTTTATATGTTTGTGTTACCTCATGTATATTAAGTCAATTATTCTCTTTAGTGGGTCAGCCGCGCTAGCAGCTCTTGGAGGCTATTGTGAGCTAAATGCTACAATCTGCATGCAAACATGGTTGCACTGAAAATGCATGATAACCCATTTATTTTACACTACTTAGCTTCTGTGTGTTTGCCAAGCAATGACCTCTAATGCTGAAAAAGAAAAAGAAAAACAGCAGTTCCTGTTTTGTTCCAGGCTGTCACCAAAAGTCCAGTAACCCCAATTACAGTTTTTTCCAATTGCTGAAACACAATTTTGCAAACTAGGCTGGTTGTATCAAAATACTTAACACAATTCACAAAACCACACACCCAAACTGCAAAATACCTCATATATCCTGCAAAATGAAGCACTGCAACCAAAACTACATATAGCATTATCAAAATCAAACTTTTGCACCAAATGGCACACACTTCATTCATATTACCAGATTTTTTTTCTAACCAACTACACACTGTTGGGCATAATGAAAAGCACTCTCATCTTTAGTATGCTTTGCCATAATACTAAAATAGTTCAAATTGTAGAAAATTCTTCAGATTGTTCACATGCACAGAAATATTTGCAGATACACACACATGCTGTTGAAACATTTATTTTTTTATATTTCACAAAACAAGTCAGTGCTACATATACCAGTACAGTAAAACGGCTCAAGTTGGGCTGCACTCTCTGTCCAGCCTCTCGCATTGTCAGCCCATGGTTGATGACACGATCAACTAAGGTTGCTCTGATTTCATTTGAAAGTTGTTGTCTTCTTTGGCCATGAACTCCTCTACCAGCTCTACCCCTACCTCTCACTCTTCCTCCCCCTCTCATTCTCACCCTCCCTCTTCCTCTCTCTTCAGCGTCTTCCACTGTTGTAAAAAAAAGGTGCTCACCTGTGGTCTTTTCATAGTTCTTACTTCCTGATTGAAGTGATAACAGTTAACCACTGAGGTGTTTGGCCAGGTGGCACATATATTGGCCAATTAGCTCATGTAGTGTCATTTTGAATGGCAGTGTTTTGAAATGGCAAACTTGTGACTTTATGTCAGATTGTTGTGTCTTATGCAGAGAACCGTGTTCAGTGCATTTAAAAAGTGCCATTTTGAATTGCAAAATGTGTGTAAAGCAGAAAATGTGTTTAGACTTTTGGAGACTTGAGAAGAGGTTTTGCTCTCTGTGTGTCAGTTTAAATAATTGTGCTATGCATATCATTTTAATGTGTTAGCAATTGGAAAAAACTGTAACACCCATGTTAAAATGACATTTTAAGGCAGCAGTGTTTCCCCTACCATTATATTAGGGGGGCGGCCTAACACACACAGCTGAATGCATTTTGCTAAATGTTTGTGTATTATTTCCTCCCTGACTTTTAATAGATATGAGACATCAGTAGCTGCTCCTGAGGCGGATGCATGTGTTTACTACCTTTACAAGTAACCAACACAAAAAATACAAATGCTCATTTTAAAAGTAAATCTTATTCTGTATGCTAGCACTCCAGCTGCACTCCAAGTGAAGTTGCTGGTGGGTTTTGCATCCTTGAGAGTTTTTTAAGGAAAAATTCCTGGAGAAATTAGCTGATTAAGAAACACTATTGACAAAGGGTAAAGGACAATTCCACAATTCAATTCTTTGATTTCAATTCATCAGAACCATCCTAAATATCGTCATCAGCATTCTCAAACTAAATCTTAAAGGTGCAAAGGGACTCTGCAGATCAAATGGAGTTTGGTAGTTCATTCCTCCACTTGACAGCAGAGATATGAGATGTACATTTTCTTAGTTTAAGATTTCTATCAGATGTTCATTGAGCGAACCTGAATCTTTATCTGCTTATTTCTACTCAAGAATTACATTTTCTTGTCTTAAAACTATTTCAAAGAGGAAGTGTATTTGTTACGGTTTGAGAAAAACTAAGAGGAGGACCCAGATGCAGAGATAACAAAAATCATTTATTTAAAATAAAGATCAAAAGTCCAAAACACGAAAAAACAAGGAGCCACGAGGAAGCACAAGAGACACTAGCAAACTGCCGACTAAACTGACATACGACAAACCACATACCACAATGAACTGACACAGAGGGGCAGAAACACAGAGGCCGTTTTCGAAACCGCGTACTACATACTACTATCTAAATCAGTATGCAGTATATACTGCAGCATACTGCGTTCAACAGTAGTATGTAGTATGACTGCCAGTTGTCGGTTATTTTGCAGTATGCTTGGCTCCGGTTAAACCGGTTTCCGGTCCTGGAATGCGGAAGTAAACAACGGCCCATCTGGAGGTAAACACTGCTACGGTGTAGTGAAATAAGATAACAAGTGCTTCATTTTGATTGTCCTTATTTTACACGGGACAAAAACATTTACCTGTGACATCGGGTCCAAGTTAATTCAGCGGTATTTGATTGTTATCCGGGCGCAGTAAATGTAACAGAGACAGATCTCATTCATCTGGCGAAGGCTACGGTCCATCATTCTTGTAATTCTGCTTTAATCAAACTGGGTGCCTTTTCATCAACTTGTTCATTGGTAGTTTGTTTGTGTGTTTTACTCTGACTTTGATTATCGACCATGTAAAAAAATAATTAAAAGAAAACAGTCAACAATCGCTCATATCTTCTGTCATTTATATATACCACCCGTGGTTGAAATATGATTAGTATGCTATTATTAGTAGTAATTTATTTCATTACATTCTGAAATATACTATTAACATTGTAGTATACTTTTCAAGCATTCAGGTTTAATTTTTACACAGCTATGAATAATATGTAATAAGAGAGCAAGCCAAGGACTCTGTACCTGCAGCAGCTTCTCCACATGTGGCACATGCATCGTACAGTCAGAAAAGCAAGAACATCTGAGGTGGTAAGACACATAAATATTGGAATATGTCATTGGTTCATGCACACAATGTGGCATGAAGGAGACAAGCTGCCAACAGGAGAAACATTCTGGCTATCCTATTACAAAATGAAGACCATGTAAATAGGACACATTAAATATTTGTAAGGGTAAACTGGGATTATGTAAGGAAGTTAATGTAAGCTCCTCACCTCAAATATTGAATGTATATACACTCAGATAAGTCAATAAATACTATTGTGTGACAAGTATGTTTATTAGTAACCACTTCATTTCTTAACATTGAATTAAATTCAAACAGTGAATTTCACAGCAAACTGACAACAGTATTATATCGGTTACCAAAAAACACTTAATGAATGGTAAAACACTTTTCACTTCGGAAACACAAGTTCAGACAACTGAAACATCCTGTCCCTACTCAGCGTGGTTTGTGAGGACAATACCTCTAATTGAATGGCCACAGCGCTACTGTCCGCCTCTACCTGGGAGATGGAGAACTAACGAAAGACTTCCGTCTGTCAAGGCAGACAGTGAAGACCTTGGTGGAGTGTCTGGGATACACCAAGGACCATGGCTGGAGCAAAGACCTCGAAGTGTGGATATATTTATACTGGCTGGCCAGTGCCACCTCGTATTGGGTGGTGTCAGGAGCCTTTGATGTCCCCATCACCACGGTTCATGATGTTGTTCATCGAGTCGCTGGAAGTATCATCAGCATCATGAAGAGGGTGGTTCGTCTCCCTGCTGCTGATGAGCTCGAGGGAATAGGGGAAGGCTTTGCCCACCTGGCTGGCTCCCATGCCTTCTGCAGAGCGGCTGGCAGCATTGATGGGACACACATTAGAATCAAGCCACCTGCAGCAAACAAAGAAGACTACCTTAACAGGTAACCTGCATACAAAATACCACTTCATATAAACTTGTTTTTAATCCCATATCAATGTGAGTGGTTATCAATTACATTTTGTGTTCTTCAACAGGAAGCTCTTCCATTCCACTCAGCTGCTGGTGGTGTGTGATCACAAAGGCCGCTTCCTTAATACATATACAGGTAGAAATGAAAGTCAGAAATGTATTAGTACAGCTTCCACTGCTTAAGGGATTGTTGATCCAATAAATAATTCAGTCATCATTTACAAAACCCAGTTCATGCACGATACAACCAGCATCATGCCAAAGCACGGTGTGTGGTGGAAAGGGCAGTTGGCATGATGAAGACGCGGTGGCGCAGCATCTTCCTCAAGGCCCTGGAGGTGAGAGACAGCATTAATGTGTAAATCTAAGTACACACTAGTTGAATAAGTGCTGAGCAGTGGCTATTAAATATAAGCAGCAAAGTAATACAGGTATGGACATTCTGAGACAATAATGAAAACAAAAGAGCAGCGTAATGCGAGCTATTCAATCATGTTTACTTTCATTATACAGCTACATTAAACTTGTATTTTTTCCTGTTGATCAAGCCAACCTTTGTTCCTGCAGTGGTGTCGACCTGTGTCTTCCTCCACAACCTCTCCATCAACAATGGGGATTTGGTGGAGCCAGAGGTGGAGGAGGGGGTCTTCCATGACCAGGGTGATGACCACTCGAACCACCCTGATGATCAAATGCCAGGAGACAACATGAGGAACAGGCTGGCAGCAGAAGTTTTTGCACCTATTGGGGTCATGCAAGCACTGAAGGACCATAACTACTAACATATATATTTTTATTTCCACTACTTTTATTTATGGAGATTTAGGTTTTGTTTGTTCACAAATATAATTATCATGAGCATGTTCACATTGCATTTTCTGTTAATAAAAGTGCCTGTTTCACATTTTGCCTATTTGGATTTCACTTAGAAGTGACTGTGTTTTAGTCATTTCTGTACAGGGGAGGAAGGAGAGACCACCACTACATCCTGGCCTGAAGAGTCAATGGTGACCGGACGTGTTATTGAAGGCCTCCATGTAAAGGCTAAATTAAAGTCATTGCAGGTGATCTCACACCTTTTGGAAGGCAGCAGCTTACTTATCCCTACCTTGTATTTTTGTTTGAGGTTCTCCCACTTGTGCTTGATCTTCCCGTCCGCATCCACTTTCCCCACCAGAGAACGCTCTTTCACAAACTCTTTATCACAACACAACAGTAAAAGCTTATTTGTATGAAAACACTGCTACCTCCAAAGATGTAACTTTATCACACTACTTTCTACTTACCTAGCAGCTAAGCTCAGTTAAGAACAATAATAACTTAACATTCACTAACTCAAATCCCTTTTGGGCTGCATTCCTGAGGCCACTGAACAGGCTTTGGAAAAGGGCCTCTTGTGTCCTGTTCTGTCCCTTAATTAATTAAATAAATATACGTAAGTTTGGCGTAATAGTAAAGTTGCCTGTGTATATACAGTGACGCTAGCGTTGCCGTCGTTGTGATATTTAGCATTACGTTAGTAGGCATAACTTCATTACACGCCAGCTTGACGTTTGTTAAGGGCCCAAATTTTAATGTTAACCAAATACAAATTCTACGTTATTAAAATGAAACAAAAGCAAATGATGACAAATCTTGTCTGATAATTGGTACTTAGATTTATATTCACTCTCCGCCGCTGTCGCTCCGCCATTACGACTGTAAATTTGCATTCTGGGAGACAGTACGCGAGGTAGACTGGTCCGATGCATACTGTAAATTTTTCTCGAATCAGTACATACTAGTAGTATAGTACGCGGTTTCGAAAACGGCCAGAGACTAAATAGACATAGATGAGACTAACAAGACACAGGTGAGGACAATCAGGGCAATCACACTGGGAAACACACAGAGGCAGGAATACAAGAAACACTGAGGACAACTACAACCTAAATCATGAAACACTAAAGACACACAGAAGTCAAGAGTCTAACAAAACACACTAGAACACAGAGATGCATGAGGATAATAAATGACAAAATAAAACAGAAAATACTGAAGACAAAACTAGGAAACCATGAACACTAGGAAACATTAACACACAAGGGAAACAAGCAACACTGGGATAAAACAGGGAAACTCAAACACAAAACCAAATCATGACAGTATTGGATGTAAGACAGCATAGGTTCAGTCCTTAAAAAGGCCAAACGTAACACACATATCCTGAGTCGGTGCGGTATGCTAAAAGCAGGTGGCGAGGCAGCGAAAGGGCCAAGTTTTGACAAGTCTCTCGCTGTCCCACACATGTTATTTTCTGCCTCACTCTTTCACTCTTCACATCCTTTTTCTCCCTCTCATCCCCTCCTCTATTTTCAGACGTAGCTCTCCTTCCATCTCCTCTCGTCCCAGACATGTCGACAGCATTTTTCTTTTTTGCCCAGGGAGGACAGACACACCATAAATTATTTCAGCACTCCTGTCCTGTATGAAGAGGCAGAGAGAAGGATTTAGGACATCAGAGGAACATCCTCATCCTGAACTTTGAAAAAAAGGCATTTCTTTTTGCAGTTTAAGTAAATGAAGACATTCTGTTCTTAACTTTATTTTTTTGCAGTATATCACTTCATATCTTCTTGGTTCATATCTGCCTAGTTGTTCTGGGTTAAAAAAAAAGGTATTCCCACATTTGTTTATAGGTGAATGCTACTTTCCAAACCATCAGTCTTACAGCATTGTCCACTTCTGACATATGCCAGGTGTGTGGCTATGATAAAGGAAGTATCACTTAATTCACCTCATAACTTCTTCCATTGCTTTTATATGTTAAAAAAAAAACACTTTGCCTTTAAAAAATATATATATTTCCCTGACCCTAAACCTTTATCACAGGGCAATCCACTGTGTACGAAACAATGGTGCCTCATGTGAAAACACCTTAAGACTTGGGCGGCAGCAGCTCAGTCCGTAGGGGCTTGGGTTGGGAACCAGAGGGCCGGTTCAATTCGGACCATAATATGGAAGTTGGAGAGGTGCCTTCCCGAGCACTGCCGAGCAAGGGACCGAACCCCCAACCGCTCTGGTGCGCTCCCTGCATAGCAGCTTGTAGCAGCCCCACTCTGAAATCTCTCCACTAATGCATGCCCTCAGGTCCTGTTTGTGCATGTGTGTGAGTAGCATGTCTCTCAACAGCAGAGTGTGAACCAGAATTTCCCCTCAGGGATTAATAAAGTATGTAAAATTCAAAAAAAGACTGAGATACCATAAAATAAGTAGCATTTAGCATATTTACTCCAAAGCATTTATTCTAAATAGTCACTAAATCGGCTGAAGGAACACACATTTTTCCTGGTGTCTTACCACAACAGTGTGTATTTTAAAGTCCCCGGAAATCATAAAGGCTGGAGACTTTGAGAGATTAGGAGTCCGAGAAGAAGAGTCAGCATCTAAGTGTAGGGAGGTGACGAAGGAAGAGAGAGATAATGTGGAGGAAGTCAAGTGTGTTGGGATGGCTGGCGGACAGCAGTGTCAAAACTTAGTCTGGTGGAGAAATGATGGATAGAGAGAGAGAGAGAGAGAGAGAGAGAGAGAGAGAGAGTGATTATAGCCCTTTCTTTCATAGCCTTTTTCTTAATTCGTTGTTTGAGAAGGTGGTGAAATTTCACGTCTCTTGAGTTTGTGGTCTCAAAAAAGGTCTCAGCGGTTTCCCTCAGAGGGGACTGTTGATGTTTTCACATGGAATTAATCTGTTTATTTTCCTTTTTTAAAAACGAGTGCCTCTGCAGGTCCTGTGATGACAGACAGAGGATCTTATTTCACTTCACCACCAGGGGAAATGTCAAAGGTTTCAACACGGGGAATTAATTCACGACAGAAGCAGGAAACTGTCGGCTGACATAACACAGGGAAAAAAATAATATTTGACTTTGCGGTTAAATGCTTTTACAAACTCAGCAAGTTGCAGTTTTTGATGAAGACTTATCCAAAGCTTTTTACCAAAAATATTGTGTTAAGAATAAAGCAGGTAATCAGTATTTTTTGTTGTGAAAAAAAAACTTTCATCCAACCTCATCAACATCTACTTCTCTCTATAAAAGATTGCAATAGAGGCCTAACCTGTACTGGTGGAAGTGTTTTGTTCTACTGGACCCTAACAAGGTCCAACATTTGAACCACAGTCTTTACCGTGGATGGTTATTAGCATTTCACGCTGTAGCGACCAATGTGCACTGCTGATCTAAAGTGGTCTAACATCTATATGTTAAGTTAGGGCGCAGTCACACGAGGTATAGTCGTCATGTACCCCCCTCCGCATTCCCCCGCCGGCCTGCACTCACACTGCTCAAGGACTAACCGGGCCTGAGCACGGTTACCTCTTGTACATAACGCCGTAATACAACACATGCATGGCTTTACCTGATCATGAAGCGTGCTTAGTTTACAAGACAGGCAGACTCAAAATTAAGAAATAAAAAATAAAATTAGAGAACAACACAGAGAACATGACAGCTACTTTACTGATTTTCTGGCTTATTTTGAGTCATCTTTAGTCAGAAACAGCCAGAAATCTCCGGGATTTCACCATAATGAAGTCCCCGGTGTGTGCTCATGCATGAACTGTACCGTGCCGAAGCACACCTCTTCAAAGCATGCTGGGACCAAGGGGATCGAAGCACTCACACTGGTCAAACCAACTGGACTTTAGGGGTGAAGCATGCCTAGGCACGGTACAGATTGCCTAGTGTGAGTGCGCCCTTTAACTTTTTTGGGAATGTCTGTGACTCACTTAAATCTTCAAATCACATTCATAAAGCCTCCACATGCATCTACTTTAATGGCTGTGTAATAAAGTAGCCTGTTCTGTACCCATTTACAGGAGAAAATGACAAACTGCTATTTCCCATGAGAGTAATATTGGTTCAGTGTTCATTTTCAGAAGAAGCTTTGGGACTGAGAGCTAAAGTTAGTCTTTATGCTGTTCAGCTGGAATCCACATTAAAATATCACTGACGTAAATCAGCAGATCGACCGCCTGAGCTTCAGAGACTAGATTTGTAAAATACTTTTTATCCAACTGTGATACTTATCACATGGACATTTTTTATTAAAGCATTTAAATTCAGAGTCTCTCTCAGTTTTATTTGGATGCAGTCACCCTGGTTGACCTCTTGTCAGTTGTGTGAATCAAACTTCTACATTTGGGAAAAAAAATGACTCAGCTGGGAATTGCTACTAAATTCTTTCCCATGTAGAAGTCCAACACAGGGATGTTCTGAAGCTCACCATGCTAATGCCAGTGAAGTGTGTCTTTTGATTTATGTCTGTGAAAGGGCCAGGGATTTAAGTATGATGTGTACGTTTGAGTTAGGAGATAAATCACTTGCAGATATTTATATCCTAAGTTATTTATTTAGTCATAATAATCAGGTGCTTTTTTCTACAGTAGTATGGTTGTGTTCACACTGCCGACCAAGCAGCCATTGAGAAATAATTATAGTCATGTAAACTGTCAATGCAGAGTTTTTCATGAAAGCAATGAGCTGTTTTTTTACTTGACAAGGAATGAGTTCTCCGCAGACTTTTAAAGAGCATTCTGGATAACACAGGAAATCAGCATTAAAAGCACATGAAGGCAAGGCAGATCAAAGGAAGCTGGGGCCAATTACGTTGTAAATTTTAAGGAATGGTTCAACATTTTTGGCATTTATTTGCTGCCAATGACGAGGTTCATACCACTTGTCATGTCTCCACATAAATACAAAGCTACAACCAGCAACTTGTTAGCTTATGTAAGCACAAAGAGCTAGTCACATCAAAAACGCTCTGCACATTCTGCCCTGTTGGTTTAATACTCTGTTTGCAGAGGTTTCTCTGCAACCTCCTTTAATGTGTCTACAGTTTTGCTTTTGTAAAAGTTAAACCATGTTGCCTACATTAGACAGAGTCAGGCTAGCAATTTGCAGTACTTGTTATAAGCAAAGTTAGCTAAATAAGCTAGTGTAACTTAGGAGACTCTGCTTATATGAAAGTTATTCTAGATTCATGTTTTATAGTCTGGCGACCAGATTTGGGAAGAATGTCTTCCAAGCCACCTAGAAGGTATTAATGCATTAATGCATGTGTTGCCTAGGAACCAAGTTGAAAATAATGTAATACATTCCCCAAATTAACATATTTATTTGATCTTTGCATAAATAATCATCTTGTGATATTTTCAATAGCTTTAATCAATTTGAC